TTTCCCGCGCGGGTCGAGAGGGTGCCCCAAGATGTAAATCAATTGGGGATGGCAGAGTCTTGGACAATTCCCGGGTCGCTCAGGTCGCTTTCCGGGCGGGTTCCGGGCGGGATTTCGTCACTCTGACAAGGGTCCGGAGGGGTAGGGGAGGTAAGGTCTAGGTCTAAGGCTAAGGACTAGGTCTAAGGTCTAAGGCTAAGGCTAAGGCTTAAGGCTAAGGCTAACATCGACAGTCACGCCTCACCCCACGGTGTGGGGTCGGCGGATATTTTTTTATTATAAATATAGCCATTTTTATTGCAAGAAGGTGTGGCATGTTTTTCAGTGCTGGGTTCAGTGATTCAGAGTCAGCGGGGTCCGGTTCCGTTCTTCAATTGCCATGCCTAAAAAAAACCTCTATTTTTGGGACTTCTGCAAATCGTTTAGGCCGAGCTACAAACCCTGATGGATCATGATTTCAGGAAATCCCATCAAACGGTAATCGGTAAATAGTAAAGTAAACGATAGTGATGGACTATGGTTGGTGGTTGAAAACGGTTTTTTTGGTTGGGCGTGAGGGGCACACACATTACTGTAGCTACGACCAGGTTGGAGTATCTGACATGACGACATTGGACCGGAGTGGCTGAAGTTCTCATTTGGGGGTCTTGGGTCGTGTTGCAGAACCAGAACGAAAGTACAACAAATAAATCACAGAGACTACAGAGAGTTTAAGATCTGTTGTGTGATCATGACTCATGTCCCACCCAACCCGATTCGGAATTCGATTCCCAATTCCAGGTGATGAGTCGACCCATTGAAACAATCGTTGAACACTCACTCCATTCCTTATACCCGGCGACGTCGGTTCGATTCCGATCTAGACATCTTAATTCGGATCGAGTCGACTGATTGACCCTGACCACTTAAGGGAGCAAAAGCTGGGGTCCTCTCAGTGCAGCGGGCGTTGGGAGGAAACAATCAACTTTTATCTCCATTACTCTGACTCAGACTCAGGAAGCCTGGCCCATCATAGTCAACTATGTTGGTGTCAGGAACTTGGAAGTGGCTTGGATTGGTCCATCAGCAGGTTCCTCCACCGGCCTACCAGGAATGGATTAGGCCCCAAGTGAGCCCTCGCCCCCAATAAGTAGGGACACAGTTTTCACAAAACCCATCAGGTATCCATGTGGCGGACAGTGAGGAGAACTTCAAGTATGTGTTCTGGTGTTTGCACTGCTGAAATGGCACTGGCTGCAGCTACCAACATTGTCAACAAGTCCAAGAGTTTGAGCTTCCGAGTCGACATGAGGTGCATGGCGGTGTGGGAGGCTTATCAGCATGTTTCCAAGGTCCTCAAAAACTCCCACCAAGTTTTTGACCAATGCCTCACCCCCTCAGTCCAGTCCAGTCCAGTCCACTGTTGGGCATCGTCCACACCCATATAGTCGTTGTTTGTCAGTCTGTGGCACTCTGGCGTGAGAGCATCCCCTTCTAGCTTCCCTATCCCCAAAAAGTGTCCACAGGTGCACCTTCTCTTTGTTTAGAGTGAGATCTCCACCATATCTCTCGACTGGGGTCCCAGTGAAACAAAACTGAAACAGCGGTCAGGGAGGTGTGAACTGAACACACTGAACATGAACCATGTGATGGCTGTCTAGGCCCCTTCAAAACCTTTCCACAATCCAGAAGACCCACAGTCTAGTCTAATATCCCTCACACTGGGGTTACATGACTGACCTCTATATAATTTGTTAGTGGACCAGCCAGGACCGGAGTAAGTTAAGTTTTGTTTGACTTGATTCGGTGTTTCATCGACTCGAATCACCCACCCCGCCCATCATTTGCCCAAGTCTTTTCCCGCTTCAGGAATTGGATGCAAAGTGCCACCAGTCCATTTTGGACAACCATGCCTGGACGAACCGAGTAACTGGCTCCAACCACCCTTTGCCATGTCTCTTCAGAGATATGCGGGACCTGGCCCCTCCAGACACCTTCAGGGTGACCGACTGTTGCCTGCCAAAAAACAATTAGTTCTGGAGTGGTCGTCTATTTTGGTGAGTGTGATTGATTCATTATGAGCTCTAATGAATTCATTCATTCAAGTATGTCGGTGTGTAAGTAAGGAATTACTGAACTGGTCGAATAAAAATGGTGGTGACCTGGTGGTTTCTGGAACCAGTGATTCACTCAGATCCGTCCCACACAAGACAAGCGTAACTAACACGAGTTATCTATTTAGATTTACCATACTTACTCCTGCTTGGTCCAACGACGATCACCATCGTAACACTCCATCGATATGATCAAAGTATTATAGAACAAATGGTGTAAATATTCATGGATTATTCAGCAACCCAGACCTCCCGCCGAGGCTTCAGAGAGAAGAAGCGGAAGATCTTCGAGGCCCACTCGGTCCGGAATCAGACCTGCATGATCCATGACGGGTGCCAGTGTGAGGTTCCCCCAGTGGACCTGGACATCAGTGGATTGCCTTGTACTGATAATTCTCAGGCGAAGCAAGGCCGCAAATTCGAAGAGGGGGAGACTGGCCCCCTCTTCATCATCTGGGCGCTCCGGCTTCGCAGGGACAGGGTGCCACTAAGTGTTCTTGAGAACACACCAGTCAACTGGAGTGCAATTCAACTCAGTGTTTTTGGTTTTTCATTGTCTTGCCCTGACTTAGTCTAAAGTGTTTCTTCAATTGAGGGATGATTCCACTTCAACCAGACTCATGAGGAGTGTCCTATGGGCCACCCAAATAACCCCATGCCCCTGGCCTGCTGCTGGATTCCACCATATAGCCAAGCGCTTTGTTTGCCTCAGGATCTGCGTATGGAGGTTGTCCGCTCATTGCCTGGAGACCTCTACCACATCTTCCCGCTCTATGTGGACATGGGGGATTGTGGACACGCAGGGGCTACTAGACGCCGTGTCTATGTCATCCTGGCCCACAAGCACATGACTGACATGATCACCAACCCTTACAACCTCTACCAGAATGTGGTCCTTGATCTGAGATTGAAGAGTGAGGCATTGGATTGCCAGACCACCCCAGGTGACTACCTCACAGCTGATCACATGGAGATCCAGTTAGATGCAATGGAAGTTGCCCGTTACTTCACTAAACAAAGAAGGAAAGTCTCAGTCGTCTAAGTCTTAGGACTCATTGTCAAAGGCGGCACAGGTGAGTGAGGGTGTGGGTGAGCGAACAAATGAGTGGGTGAGTGCGTGAGTGAGTCAGTGACAGTGACCAATAATTCATGTATTCAGTTAAATTCAATTACGAAAACATCTTATATAATATATATCAGAGTGACTGACTGTCAGACTGTTGGACTGGTTGAGAGTTGCGTTGGACTGGATAACTGAGTCTGAGACGTGCCATCAGTTCCACGCATGAATGGCAACTGAGGTTCGTCAGGCAAGCCATTCAGATCCAACCTTGCGGATTTGAGTTATTTGCTCTCAGACCGTGAGCAGGAGGCTGCCTCACAACTATCCCAGTACTATGTGCAGAGGTTCCACCGGCAGCCACAGGAAGATGAGGATTTGGTTTTTTTCTTAGGAGACAACCCCTCCTTCAGCAGGACTTGGTCTCGTGTGTCGGGCCGAGTGCCCACTTTCAGGCGCAATGCTGCTACTGGTAAGTTCTGGTACCCCTCACAGCGCAGATTCCTGACCAATTCTGAGAAGTACACTGGCTGAAGCTGAGCCATTTGTTTGTTGAGTTGATTATGTATATTGTTAAGACTCTCACTGACTGACTGACGTCTCAGTGTCTGTCTCTGACTGACTTGACTCTTGACTGTCTCAACAGTTCACCGTTCTATCATTCCGAATTCCAGGAGCTGAGTCAGTAACTGAATTACTGACTATAGTTTAATAAGTAAGGCTTGTTGTGACTGTGTCATTGCTGCTTACTCACTCAGTCATTGGGCTGGCACTGAACTCGTCACTCCGATCCAAGGCTGACCGTGCTATCCTTTCCAATCCGTGGGCCAATGAGCAGCGCAATTGGATGTGAACCTTTAGGGGTGCGAGACCCAAAGCGGGCCGCCCAGCTGGTTGGCAATGCTATGGCTTTTGGAAGTGTGACTCTGGTTGTCCTTGTCGCCCTGAGTTCATTCAAGATGAAACCATCTTACCTGGTGGCGCATTTGCCTCCTGATGTGTCAGATATGACTACGATGACGGGGCTTGCAGCAGCTTCACACTGAATGATATAATATAAGCCAGACAAGAGTTGTTGAATTGAAGTCATCCAACTGCAACGTTCACTGTACCAAGTATCTATGACAATGTTTTGTGTGTCTGAGTCGCGCTGCTTCAACTGATCCCGGGCCCAACTTGCGCCTGTAGAAGCCTTACTAGGACAGTAGTAAGCTTTGAATCAGCAACGCTTGCCAGAACAGTGTGTATAGCTTCAGGGAGTGGTGCAGGAGCTGAAATGTAACGTAAGTCGGGCGTGTATGCATCAGTGTGGAGGACCTGTTGCTGTTTGACCAATGGACCAACGCACCTCGCGCGCAGAAATGAATTAATGAATGTGGGCAGTCTTAGAGAACGGAGTGTGGAAATTGAAGTCATGCAGAGGAGTCCACTTTTCTGAATCTGCTAGGTTTGGATTGCTTCATTGCATCAGAACATGTTTGCTTTGAGTACTAGTGCATTAATCTGTTTGCGTCATTGAAGGTTGTAGACTTGTAGACTCACTGAGTCAGGCAGTGCTTGGTGGCACCAGTCACAGAGCTATTTACTGTACTATTACTAAATTACGGTTCCAGTTGTTTATATACTGATTGCGATGGATGCAAATCCAATCAATAGAAGCTGGGATTTGGCACAGACTTAGACTTGAGTCAGTGACTTTGACTTTGGCGCACCTTGTGATCTATGGCTGGGGCTGGAACACCACTTCCTCCCATCATGGGTGCTGGTGGAGGTGGAATGGCCGGGGAGCCCATGCCGCCTAATATGGGGCCGCCTGGACCTGTGCTTCATGGTGGCAGTGGAATGTCTCCAATTGTTCCTCCCACCATGGGTACTTCCATGATGATGGGCTCTCCTCCAGGGGCCCCAGGGGGGGATGCTCAATTGGCCACAGATGCACAGCTCCAACATGTCCATGCCCATGGATCCTTTCAGCTTGCCAATGGAACCACCGCCCGCTGCTTCACGAAGACGGCCACAGTCCTCATCCGGCGGTGGAAGGAGGCGAGATGCCAAGGAGATCTATGCCACTTGCTTTGGGCAGCTCAAGGCAAGGACACCGACGCTGTCTTGGGTGTCATACTAAATATTTTAACTTTTATGACAGACAGAATGATGAATGTTCAGAAGTTCAGAAATGACTAAATGATGTTGATGGTGAGTTTGACAAATCCATTTGCCTCATTGACTTGTTCGGTGACCTGGCTGACCGACCTCAGTGAGTGTTTTGATTTCAACTGTAAGGTTTTGCAGTGGTGAGGTCAGGGTTCAATTCAAATTGCCGCAGTTGAGCCAACTAACTGTAGCTAACTAACTCACTAAGCCACTACCTAGACCAAACTGAAGTCTAGAAGACAACGGTGGCCAGGAGTTAATTATTAGTCCTGTCAACAACTCCAGCCTGTATCAGAGTGAGTCCCTGACAGGAAGCAACGCTCAAGGAATGCTTGGCCAAGAGTGGAGTTGCTTGGCCGTGTATTAACTGCGTTCATGGATTGAGTTCGGCTTTGCAACATCATGATCCACCACGACCACCAAAAGGTAAGGCCTTCCACATAATCTCCTTTGGAAGACTTCACTATTAGTAACTAGGGAGTCAGGATGTGATGGTTAGAACCAATGAACCAATTTGAAGATGGGGTTGACTCAGTGAAGCACTCAGGGTGACTATGCTAACAAGAGCTACTTGGACACCCTGAATGTGGAGATGCTCCACGCAATGATGTATATTTATTGGGGCAAGGTGAGGACTTCAAGGATCAGTCCGGAGCAGTTCCTTGGCATTCATTGGATAGGCTAGTGGGCTGGCACTTTTCCATTCCTCCTGGATTGTGGTGAAAAAGGACCCCCCCACAACTCCTTTCTCACCACCCCGGTCACTGTTAAACTGCTATTCCGAAATTGGATTCAATGCTGGCAAGGACAGACTTAGTGACTTGCATGGTGCCTCTCAGATGAACTAGATATGTGACTGGTGGCAACTCCACTCAGGAAAGACCCAAAGCGACTGCCGGATTTGCTCCTCCAAGAATACTGTAGGAGGGCCCGTCCAGGAGACGGCCTCTCTGCCCAGGACTGGTCCTTCTCAGTAGTTGAGTTTGTGAAGCGTGGTTACAATCAATCCCTGGTACACTAGAACCCCGTTGTGTTGCAATTACAGCTGCTGCTGTCAAGTGTTTACGCACTGCATTGTCGTTTTTACAAGCAATGGGTGGCCAGGAATGCTGGAGCATATGCCAGGCCTTGTTCTCGGGTCAGGACTGCTACACCCTCACCAAGGAAGGTGAGGACAAATGGATGCTTGACAATGGCATCTCGGAGCTGGACATCACCAGTAACCTTCCGGAGGACACCCGTGACCCCAAAGAGTACATTCTGAAGTGTGTGGGCGGCCGCGCTTGCATCATCCCGACTTCAGGCCACTTGGGACCGAAGGGTAGTTGGGGGAGAGCGTTGAACTGAGTGGCCGGTTCATCGGACACCTTGTATGTATTTAATTTATGATGTCGATCATCGGGTTGATGGGTGACAGCATGACAGATCGATTCAAGGGCGGTTTAGTTATCCATTGTCCATGTCTGTCAAACTATGTGGGATGACATTTTCTCAATTACTAAGTGTGATTGGTTCGAGTGATCCTTTTCTTATTCAATATGTGGTTGACATTTCAGATGCAACTGTTGAACTGTTGGGTGACTGCCGCCATTCCAGCCCCTATCCAAGAAATGTGTTCATTTGGCACCCGAATGTAGGTGCCACATGAACACCAATTTGGGCCGAAAGTGCTAGACTGGTAACCCACTGAATATTAATCATTAAACATTTAAATAGGCTCTTTATCATTATCATTTACGGAACTTTGTGTCCACTTGAACACTGAATCACTGAAAGTATGACCTTTGTCTGTGACTGTCTCTGACTTGGTTGGCATATTCAGTGTCAACAATAGTGTAATGCAAACCCACTGTAGTATTGCAGAGGCAGAAGCATTATTTGTGGGTCGTGTTTTCTTATGGTGTAATAAGGTGTTTGTCATCAGCACTGACCAGTTTGATTCGGATCGAATCTACTCAGGATTGAACCGGGTCACATGCCCTTCCACCTTCTGCGACACCCTCCTTGCCCCGGTGGTGAAGTTCGACCAAGAGCCGGAGCTGTGGTGGAAGAAGCAGGTGATCCGCTCATTGCTGTCTGTCCGGGCTTTGTGCCTCAAGGAAGCGCCTGTTGAGAACAGAGGTCCCATTCATCCCGGTGGAGTGATGCACGCCACTGCTGCTGCTGGTGGAGGAACTCCTGGTCAGCTTGCGCTTCCACCTCCTGCTGCGGCCATGGTGCATTGTGGAACTGCTGGCGCTGCGCATCTGGCCGGTATGTCACCAAGTCCAGCAGGTGTGGTGAGTGAAATTTGACATCGCATTACAGGGGTCCGATTACTTACTGAAGGACAGTCAGACTGAGTCAGAAACTAAACTCTGACTCACAGTGGCTTCACTTTTAAAGGTCTTCCCAGAGACTGGGACAGGCAAGTTCACGATAACAATGTTGTTCCTTTGTTTGTGTTTGACTTGGTATTGGTGGCCATTGGCCATCCAGCAATTCAGAATTCAATAATATTAATTTGATTCCTGTGAACATTTATAAAACTTGGTATGTAACAGACAGACAGAGATCAGCCATCATCACCAATTCAATCAAGTCGACATTCAATGATTCAACTCAACTTGCTTCTCCGGGTTCATTCATTACTAGTAACATGTCAAGTCTGACAGAGACTGATTGAATGACTCTGAGACCAACAGACTCAAACAAACTCGGTCAGGCCTTGGCAATCTTTGTGCGTGCGGTCTTCCACGTGCTCATTGTGGAGTGTGTGGCTTGGGGTATGCCACACTCCATGTCGCTACCCCTGCGCCTGCTGCTTCTCCTGCGTCCCTTCCTGCTGGGCCTGGTTTTCCTGCTGGGCCTGCTGGGCCTGCTGGTGTTCCTGCTGGGCCTGCTGCTCCTGCAGTGCCCCTTCCTGCGCCTGCTATGGTGCCTCCGCCGCCAGACAGTGATGATGAATCTGCTGCCGCCACTGAGGCCACTTTGGATCATTCGCATTGCGTTTGAATAGACAAGCAAGTGCGCTGATAAAACCTTGAGAGTGATTCAACTGTGGCATTTGACTGGTATGACACTATTGGGAGTATTCATTCATCATCATCAGTTCACACCGTTTTAGATGATTGGGGTGGGTGGGAGCAGAATCAAAATGCGTGATTGTGAAGCTGAAATTGGGTGTTGCTTGAGGACTACAGGGTGCAGAATGTGCCAGATGTTGGTCAGGTGCTGGTGAGCAAGGATGGGGCTCTCAAGAGGATCTTGGCACGAAGTGACAGCGGTGGATGTGACGATTGGGTTGTTCGTAAAGAACTGCGTGTGCCTTGGATATTTTTAATACTGCTTTATTGTTCTTAAGTTTAATTGTAGCTGATGATCTGATGCCTGGCCTCATCTGAGTGTCATGATACTGGCGATTGGGGGCTAAAAGCTAAGTAAGTAGGTGTGTTACACGCATGTCATGTTGTTAACTGTTAGTTTTAATGTGAGTGTGACTGACCCTCCTCATCTCACCTTCCAACCTACCCTCTGAAAGAGTAGTGTTGCCTAGATCTGAAAGTGCCACTACATTGCGTTACAGGCCACTGCGAAACACTACAATGAGTGGTATGTGGCTTCAGCCTCTGGCAAGTGCTCCCCTCAATGGATCAGCAAATTGGCAAAGCCGGAGCGCGAAAACCCATCTCTGACTGTTGAGGCAGGGAGTGCAACACATAACATTCATATGGTTGTTGCAAATATCCACCAGCAAATTAGTCAAGACTAAGAAATCATTAAATCAACACTCTGAGGTGGTACTCACACTGGTTTTCGACAACAAATGATGAAGGGAGAGGCCTAGACTCTCTGTCAACCTATTTGACTTTCCCAGGATCGTGTGTTGCAAGTTTGTCCTGTTGAGTCTTGA